CATAGGAATGGAATCGTGGGACATAGAATGGAGTTTTGGAAAATCAAATTTCTTAAGTTTGACCTACAAATGAACAACACCAACAAAAGGAAAGATGATGAGTCATAGATAGCTTTCGTAGAAATGTTCCAAACTTTGTAAAATTTTGAAAGAAAATTTAGATTCTATGGATGGGTCTACAGACCATAGAAAATTCGATAAACGATAGAAAGGTCTCATGGGACATAATTGAATTTTTGTTTTCCTAAGTTGGTTCAATGGTTTGCTAGGACGGGCCATAGAAATTCCTAAGGACTATAGGTCAGAACTGTAGGAACCATCTAACAGTTACTTTTACGGGTATATGGGTCTTTTCCTATGCACCTAATACCTATAAAAAATCATTTAACCCCCAATGATAAGTCTTATAACTATCTTTCAACCCGTAAATATCCTGAAACCCTCTCATCCTCTCAAATATTAAAATCCCATCCAAATTCATCCTCTCCAAATCCTCTCAAGCTTCAAGGGAGATATCTAGGGTTCAAGCTTCAAGCTCTGTATTCCTCCATAGCTTTTTTGCTTTGAATTTCAAGGTATGCAAGGCTTCATCAATGGGTTTCATTCACCCATTGATCTCCAATGTTTTCTCCAATTCTCCAATTCATTTTCGATCAAATTGATTAGGTTTTAATTCAAATCATCACACATTCTATTTGTGTTGATCCAACTTCTTGAATTTGATCTTAGTATAATTTTTTTAGCTCAATTACATGCTTTTCAATTTAAATCACATGAACCCATGCATTGATCATGATTTTAACTATGAACCCTAAAATATGTGAATTTATGAAGAAAATATGAATCTAGGTATTCATGTTTTCATTAAGTTATGCATGATTTATGAAAAAAGAATGTATTATGAATTAGGTTGACTTATGATGAGCATCACCAAAATTGTAAAAGGTTTTCTCACATTAAGGAATCATGGATTGGTAAAAAGGTTTACTCACACATCCTTGATTAAAACTTTTATGAGCTACTCTTTGATATTTAAACTTGGACTAGTATTTGAATCGTACTTTCCCATGGATTATTATATGTTTATTAAATTGACTATTCCATTGGGATTGAACTTAGCACCGAGAGAACTTTGAGGTGGAGGCTCAAATAGGATAGTCTTTAGTAGCAACCTCTAGTTCCATACTACGGGCCCCTTCAAGATTGCCTTAAATGGCCTAGCGAGTGGATCTACATATATCACATGATATTATACAGAGTTCTACCTTGGAAAGTAGACTCTCCCTAATCGATGTGGGAGTTACATCAGATTCCATGTTATAGCTCACATGGTGTATTGTCGGTTAAACCTAATATCCAAAAAAATGATCTATGTTTTATATCAAGATTTTAATGAAGCTTTCCTTATTATTTTAAAATATGAATTGACCATGTTCACGATTTCTGATGTTTCTTTAAAGGTTTTACTATGCTTAGCTTTGTCATCCATTTCATGTTTTGATTATGTCTTCTTATGACCATGTTTTACATTTTCATGCATATCCTGCTTACTTATTACATTCCATGTACTAATGCATACTTGTGACTATATTTTTTCCTAATATAGACTCCACCAATCTTCGTCCTCCCGTTTGTGGTTAGTCGACTTGCCCCTTTTAAATTCAAGAGTTGGTGAGTGCTCATGTTCAAAAGACCATGTTACCTTTACTTCACTGTCGTTATGTTTTAGTTTTTACACATTGTATATGGTGTACGGGTTGCATCGTGACCAAGATGTCTTGTCAATATGATATTATATTTTTCTTATATATTAAATGCTTTACTTCGATATGAACTCTCTTATTTCTATTCTGTAGTGTATATATTTGTAGTGGCTTATGTAGGTTCTCTCATGGTCTTATACAACATGTGACGTCTAGGGTGTACGTTGGTTCATGAAAAATATCATATTCAGAACACAAGGCTTTAGAAAAGTTCCTAGTATGCCTGACAAACTGCATTGAGTAGAGTCATTTTCATGAGTGTGAAGTGTTCCAAATTTATGAATAGGAGGTTACAAGGCATATAGAACACTTCACTTATTTCATTACTCTAAAGTCATTACATAGAGTCTATCTCTATAAATATTCTTCTCCTTAATTGTGCTGGATCATTTTTAGGATATGGCCCCTTGAAGAGCTTATGTGAGAAGAAATGTGAGGGAGAATGTGGAGCCCAAGGTTCTTGAACTTCTAGCTGACCCTTTGGCTGAGCAAGTGACTCTGGTGTATTGTGAGTCATTTTTCAATCGTACTCTCAAGCATGATGGCCCAAAATATAGAGAAGTCATTGCTCCCATGAACCGAAATGTTGGTACGAAAGGGAAAAGGATAAGGGACTTCACTATGATCAATCCTCTGGAATTCCATGGTTCTATAGTTAATGAGTATGTTCAAGTGTTCATTGATAAGGTCTACATGATAGTGGGAATTATGAGATTGTCTAAGGTTGGGAAGGCGGAATTGGCCACTTATCAACTTAAGGGTGTTTCTCAAGTGTTGTTTGAAGAATGGAAAAGTGAGAGGCTGGTTAATGTGGGTCATCTCGACTGAGTCAAATTCAAAGGAGCTTTTCTTGATCATTTCTTTCCTCTTGAGAAGAGAGAAGTGAAAGTGATTTAGTTCATATCCATCAAGGGAACATGAGTGTGAAGGTGAATTCTTTGAAGTTTACTCAATTGTCTAAGTATGCTCTGAATATGATTGTTGACTCTAGATCAATGATGAGTAAGTTCATGTCCTATTTGTCTGATATAGTGGTTAATGAGTGTCGTACCTCCATCTTGATTAAGGAGATGGACATATCTTGTTTCATTATACATGCATAACAAATTGAAGAGGAAAAACTCAAGGAAAGGGCAACAGAGTCCAAGAGGTCAAGGACCGGTAAGGGTGACATTTCTTATTCTAGGTGCGGTGGACAAGGTCATTCTTAGTTTTCAAAAAAAAAATTCCAGGCAGGAATTTGTAATGGGTCTTCTATTCCCGCTTGCACAAGGTGTGAAAAGAAACTTGATTATAAGTTTCTAGTTGATACAAATGGTTGCTTTAGTTGTATAAAGAGTGGCCACAAATTAAAGGATTGTCCATTTCAAACTAGCAAGGGTAAGGATGGTACCCAAACTTAGCCTAGTGGTTCATGTTTCGATGATCCTCATTAGAATAGGTACTATACTCTTCATAATTGAGAGGATCCTAAGGGTTCCCCAGATGTGGTTACCAGTATAATAAATGTCTTTCGCCTTGATGTTTATGCTTTACTTGATCCGACTGATACCTTGTATTTTTCTACTCCCTATGTGGTGATGATATTTGATGTTGGTCCTAAAGTCCTTTCTAATCGGCTTCATGTCTATACCCCCTTTGTGATTCTATAGTACCTAAGAGAATTTATAGAAACTATCGTATTTCAATTTCTCATGGAGTCATTCATGTTGATCTTGTAGAGCTTGATATGTTGGATTTGGATGTTATTCTTGGGATGGAATTGCTTCATGCGTGTTATGATTACATAGATTGTAGGACCCGATTGGTCACATTCAAGGTTCCGAAAGAATATATCATTTAATGGCTAAGGTTCAATGTGTTTCTTGTCTAAAGGCTAGGAATATGATTTCTAAAGGTTTCATTTATCATCTAGTTTGAGCTAGGGATACAGATTCCAAAGCCCCTACTCTTGAGTCAGTTTCTATTGTAAATGAGTTTCCAAAAGTATTCCCCAACGATCTTCTTAGTATCCCCCCCAAAGGGAAATAGACTTTGAAATTAACCTTCTCCCATATACACAACTTATCTCTTTTTCTCATTATCATATGGCCCTGACAAAACATAAAGAGTTAAAGGACAAACTATAATACTTGTTGGATAAGGGTTTTATTAAACTGAGTATTTCATCATGGGTAGCTCCAGTGTTGTTTGATCAAAAGAATGATGGTTCTCTTCAAATGTGCATCTACCATCATGAATTGAACAAAGATATGATTAAGAATGAGTATCCTCTTGTATGGATTGATGATTTGTTTGATCCACTCCAATGAGCGAGTTACTTCTCCAAGATTGACCTCTGATCGGGTTATCACCAATTAAGGGTGAAGGCGAGTGACATTCTGAAGATGGATTTTCAAACTCGGTATGGTCTTTTGAGTTTTTGGGGATGTCTTATTGTTTGACTAATGCCACGGTAACGTTTATGGATTTGATGAATATGGTCTTTAAGAAATATCTTAACATGTTTTTAATTGTGTTTATTGATGACATTTTGATTTACTCACGAAGTGAGGATTAGCATGTTGAGCATTTCAGGATAGTATTGCAGATTTGTAAGGATCGTGAATTGTATATTAATTTTGAAAAATGTGTGTTTTGGTTGAGGTATGTTGCTTTCCTTAGTCATATTATCTCCGCTGAAGGTATTCAAGTCAATCCTAATAAAACTAAGGTTGTTATGAATTGGCTAGACCTTTGTCCACTTCAAATATACGTAGTTTCTTGGGTTCGGCATGTTACTGTAGAAGGTTTGTGGACAGATTTTTCTCTATTGCTTCGCTTTTGAAGACATTAACTCAAAAGAAGGTGCAATTCTTATGGTCAAAAACTTATAAGAAGAGTTTCTAATAATTGAAAGATAGACTAAGTTCGACACCTATTTTGACATCACGAGAAGGGTCGGATGGTTTTGTTGTATATTGTGATGCTTCTCGAATTAGTCTTGAGTTTGTTTTGATGCAACATGGGAAAGTCATTGCATATGCTTCAAGGATATTGAAGGTGCATAAAAAGAATTATTTGACTCATGATTTTGAGTTAGCGGCAGTAGTGTTTGCCCTTAATATTTTGAGACATTACTTATATTGTGTTCATGTAGATGTGGTTATGGACCACACGAGTTTGAAATATTTGCATACTCAAAAGTATTTGAATCTTCTCCAAAGGAGCTTGCTTGAGTTATTGAATGATTACGACATGAGTGTCCTCCATCATCCTAGAAAGGCGAATGTGGTGGAGGATTATCTTAGCCGACTATCAATGGAAAGTGTTGCTCATGTTGAGGATGATAAGAATGAGTTAGTTTATGATGTTCATAGATTGGACCGAGTGAGTGTTCGCTTGGTTGATTCCAATGAAGGTGTTGTAGTTGTTCATAATTGTTTCGAATCATATTTTTTTTCGGATGTGAAGGCTAGACAAGATGTTGATCATGCATTGGTTTACTTAAAGAAGTCGGTCTATGAAAAATCCATTGAGGCTTTTTTCCCTAACGAGGACAAAGAGTCTTTTGATATCAAGGTTGGTTATGTGTTCCGAATGTTTATGAGTTGAGAAATCAGGTTTTGACAAAAGCTCATAGTTCTTAGTTTTCTATTCACCCGGGAGCCACAAACATGTACCGTGATTTGCAGGTAGTTTATTGGTGGAATCGGATAAAGAAGGATTTTGCAGAATTTATGGCTAAATGTCTGAATTGTGAACATGTGAAAGTTGAACATCAAAACCTGGGTGGTAAAGCTCAAGACATTAGCATTCTTACATGGAAATGGGAAGATTTAAATATGGACTTCATTACGGGTTTACCTCGCACTCATCGACAGTTTTATTTGATTTGGGTTAATCTGGACCAAATGACAAAAATGGCTCACTTCCTTCCTGTTAAAACTTCATTCTAATTGAAATATTCCTCCGAGCTTTAGATTCGGGAAACAGTGAGGTTGCATGGAGTGCCTTTGTCCATTATCTCTAATTGCGGCATTCATTTTACATCTCAATTTTGGAAGTTGTTTCAGAAAGGTCTTGGTACACAAGTAAAACGGCACGACTTACCATCCCTAGACCGATGGACAAGCCGAATTTACCATTCATACCTTAGAGGATATGTTAAGAGCTTGTGTGATTGATTTCAACGTAAATTTGCATGATCATTTGCCTTTGATTGAATTTGCTTATAATAATAGCTATCACTTTAGCATTAGGATGGCACCGTTTCAAGTAATTTATGGTAGCATGTATAGGTCTCCTACATATTGGTTTGAAGTAATTGAGGTTACATTAATAGGGCTCGGGTGTGTGCATGAGGCTATGGAAAAGGTTTAACTTATTCGCGAGAGGTTGTAAATGGCTCAAAGTGACAAAAGTCCTATTTCGATGTTAGAAGAAGAGATCTTTAGTTTGAAGTTGATGATTGGGTCTACTTGAATATTTCACCTATGAAGGGTGTAATGAGATTTTCAAAGAAATGGAAGCTTAGTCCCAGCTATATTGGCTCATATTTTGAGGCGTATTGTAAAAGTTGCTTATGAACTTAAGTTGGCTAATGATTTAGCATCGCTACATCCCGTATTCCATGTTTCTTTGATGAAGAAGTGTGTTGGAGATCCGACATCTATTGTGCCTTTAGAAGGTTTAGGAGTCAAGGAAAATCTTTCATATGAAGAGGTTCCGGTTGAGATTTTAGACCAACAAGTTTAGGAGTTGAGAAATAAGGAAGTTGCTTCCGTGAAGGTTCTGTGGAAAAATCCATTAGTTGAGGGGGATACTTGGGAGGCCAAAACCGATATGATTTTCCGGTATCCTCATCTCTTAACCTCCGCTTATGTTCTACGTTGAGGTACTAGTTCCTAGTGGTTCATTGTTTTGGATCCATGTGTTTGAGTAATTCGAATGTTTCCATATGCATGAATATTCATGAAAAACTCGCTTTTGATGTTATGATATAGCTTAAAGTGATTCTCCATGTTTTATGTGCATTTTGATGAAATTTGAATTCATGTTGGGTTGTTAGTTTCTCCGCTACTCCATTCATGCTAGCTTGATTTGCATTCGAGGACGAATGTTCCCAAAGAGGAGATATTGTAACACCTCAGAAGTTGAAAGATGAGAAAGGAAAGAAAGGTGTAGAATTTCTCTGAGGCAATGGTCTACAAGACAGACCTAGGTCTAGTAGGAATTCCAACGAGCAATAGAAATGGAATGGTAGGACCTAGTATTGAGTTTTGGAAAATCAAGTTTCTAAAATTTGACCTATGAATGAATAGGATGAACAATAGGAATTACGACGAGTCATAGATTTCTTTCGTAGAAAGGTTCCAGATTTATTAAACATTTTAACCAAAAGTTGGGTTCTACATATGGGGTCTATAGAACATAGAAAATATTCTAACGGGAAATGATTGAATTTCGGCATTTTAAAGTTTGTTCCACGGTTGGCTAGGACGGGCCGTAGAAATTTCTACAAACCTTAGGAACCATCCAAGAGTTATTTTTAAGGGTATTTGAATCTTTTCCTATGCACCTAATACATATATTATGTATTCAAAGTGCTATAACTACCTTTAAACCCCTGAATATACCCAAACCCTCTCATTCTCTAAAATCCCCAAATCCCATCCAAATATATCCCCTCCAAATACTCTCAAGCTTCAAGGGTATAACTACCTTTAAACTCCTAAATATACCCAAACCCTCTCAATCTCTAAAATCCCCAAATCCCATCCAAATATATCCCCTCCAAATCCTCTCAAGCTTCAAGGGAGAAATCTAGGGTTCAAGCTTCAAGTATCCTTATTCCTCCATTGCTTCTGGGATTTGAATAGTAGGGTATGTAAGTCTTAATCAATGGGTTCCATTCACCCATTGAGCCCCAATGTTTTATCTAGTTCTTCATATCAATTTCAATCAAATTGATTAGGTTTCCATTCAATTCTTCATGGGTTCTATTTATGCTGATCCAATTGCTTGAATTTGATCTTATTATGATTGTTTTAACTCAATTACATTCTTTCCAATTAAAATCACATGAATCAATGCAGTGATCATGATTTTTACTATGAACCCTAAAAGATGTGAATTTATGAAGAAGCTGTGAATCTATTATTTGATGTTGTCATGAAGTTATGCATGATTTATGAAAAATAAATGTCTTATGAATTAGGTTTCTTTAAGATGAGCATGAATAAAATTGTGAAAGGTTTTCTCATACATGCTTGATTCAAGAAGCTACTTTATGATGTTTAAGCTTGGGCAAGTATTTGAATTGTAGTTTCCCATGGATGATGATATGTTAATGAATTGACTATTCCGTTGGGGTTTAGCATAGCACCGAGACAACTTTGAGGTGGAAGCTCAAATAGAGTAGTCTCTAGGTGCCCCCTCTAGTTCATAACTATGTGCATATGTAGGATTGCCTTAAATGGCCTAGCTAGTAAATACACATATAGCTTATGATATGATACGCAGTTCTACCTTTGAAAGTAGACTTTCCCTTCTCGATAATGGAGTTAAGTCGGATTCTATGTTATAACTCACATGGTCTATTGTCGGTCAAAGCTAATACCCTACAAAATGATCTATGTTTTTATATCAATATTTTAATGAAGCTTTCCTTAGGATTTAAAATTTGTGTTGACCTTGTTTATGATTTATGATTTTTCTTTAAAGGTTTTACTATGCTTAGCTTTGCATGCATTTCATGATTCAATTTGAGCCTCTTATGATCATATTTTACCTTTTCAAGCATATCTCTCATACTTAGTGCATTCCATGTACTAGTGCATACTTGTGCCTACATTGTTTCACTATTGTAGGGTCTATTGATCTTCCTACTCCTGCTCATGGTTAGTTGACTTGCCCCTTTGTAGTTCAAGAGCTGGTGAGTCCTCATGTTCCGAAGACCATGTTTCCTATATATCATTGTTATTATGATTTAGTTTTCTGACATTGTACGTGGTGTATGGGTTACATCTCGACCACTTCTTTGATGTAATAGATGACTTGTCAAAAATATGTTAGAATTCCGCTTATATGTTAAATGCTATACTTTGATATGAACTCTCTTATTTATATTATATTGTGTATATGTATGTCAAGTGTCTTGTGTAGGTCTCTCGGGGTTTAATACGTCATATCACGTCTAGGGTGTACTTTGGATTGTGACAACAAATGTGGAGGGGACATGAGATGTTTCACATGATCTTTCTAAAAGTTTAGATGCTGACTATCAAATTTCCTTCATCTCATTTCACAACAAAACAAATGGTCAAGTAGCCTATGGTCTATTAGTGTCAGCCTCAATCTGAAATTATTTTCCTGCCGCTGTCTTTCTCTGTTTTTTTTTTTGGTGACATAATCAACTCCTCATTTTTTTCAATGGAATAATTGACTTCGCTTGATCTACTCAATTATCTTACTTGTATATTTCTACCCCAGTGAGAATGCACAACCTAGTAATAAGAGAAGAAAACATAAGTGTGAGACTATCTTTCTTCAAATACTCCTTGAACTCGTAGAAAATCATGTGAGCAATATTCAGCAGAATGTTGTCAAGAATGCAAGCAACCACTTAGGCTCTCAATACTGTGATATTGAATACACTTCCGCATGAGGAGACTCAGCTGCAAATAAGGGGTATTCAATTCTTTGATTTACAATGAACTCTCTGAAGGTGTTGTCTCTCTTTGTGACAACTCAAGGTGCCAATTGTTCTGACATATATTACACACCAACTAATTATCTGGAGCACAATTTTGTGGTCTAAACAATGTGATGTCAGGATTTTATAATTGATAGAGCCTATTTATTGCTTCGGCTCCAATATTTATCATTTTACCTTTTATTTTAATAATTGGAGTTGCAAATCTAACCTCTTTGAGGTCTGTGTAATATTATATTACTCATTATTCATTACCCTTACAAGCATCAGCTCGAAAACATACATCCCATAGATACCAAAAATTGATAAAAGTTAGGAAGAGCTTTAGCCACTCGATCAAGTCCAATTTCTCTTTTAGGGAACAACTTCTTTTTAGCAAAGTCAGAGTAATAGCATCTATCACATTTCGAATATATATTGAGTTTGAACATATTCATCCTCAAATTCCAAAGGGTCCTCATGCATTGCTTAACCTGAGTTAGCATTGAATTTTTACTTTTGATACCTAAACCTATCTTATAAAGTTGAATACTCTATATAAGCATGCAATACAGTTCATTGTGATTCATCTAAGAAAAAAAGTTTAATCCAAAATTCATTCGGAGTGATCTGCATAAAGTTGCTATGTTTGAGCTTGTCAGAATTTTGCCTCAGATACCACATTTGTGGTCAAATAACCATAATTATGGTCACCGCAAAAGTGATAAAATGTCAACAATTGAGGTATCAAAAGAATTTCTCAGGAGTTGTTAAAGTGGCCCTCTCACTGCTAATGTGATGACCACAAAATCAATAGAGGATCTACTAATATGAAACTTTATTTTCCAACATACCCACTTCGACCCAAAAACTAAAACTATTTGTACAAATACTTTCGATACAAACGTTTTATCCAGCTTGACACTCAAAATCATGAAGGATACTTCAAATACATTATCAAATCAAAGAATGTTAAAGAATTTCTCCGATGATTTTATTAGATCCTTCATCAAGTAGTTAATGGGCATACCCTTTCTACAACATTAGAATAGGTGATGGGTACTCAAGACTTCCCCAATTGTTAATTTAAATAATGCTCACTCTCAAACACATTATCAACAAGCAAATAACACAACTATTTATCATTTCAATCAAGAAAACACAACCCAATTATTCCCTAAACATTAGAGAAAAAATTGAGGAGAAGAAGAGACTCTTATAAAATTAGAATTGTAAGTGTGAACACCTAATTTTTGACCGAAT